TTTATGGTCAGAACTTCCATGCAAGCTTTCCGCTAGGTTGTTCGAGAGTGAGAGGCGTTTAGACGTAATACCGAAGGCCGTATAATATGACCCTTCTAGTGGCATGTAAGAATGCCCCTGGTGGATACTTTTCACCAAATTGGTGAGTTTGAGAGGACCGTTGCGACCTTAATAAATGAAAGGCGACAAGGCAAATTTTCGGCGAGTTTGAGCTTAGGTCTCGACTGAGTTATGCATGTAATACTCAGTGTCTTTACAACGAATGGGCAACAACGTCTTGTCAATTTTTTTTTTCATGGTTTAGGACCATCTATTAGAAGGCGCACAGTATACGTTCCATTCAGGAAGTACGTCTGCCCTGTTTCTCAATGCACCTATATTCTTGAGGCACTGACCTACTGGTGCGTCTTCCAGCAGCCTGTCTGTAAAATTTACGTCAAAGGAGTGCTTCACGTGCCGCGAAGTTTTTAAGCACTTCTCAAGTGCCTATAAGTGACGGTTAGGCCGCGTTTTCCGACCACAGCTCCAACTGTCCTCAATAGCTTGTCGATTTTTTCAATACGGTAGCACTCTGTGCTTTGGTATGTATAGTGTATATTCGTTAACATAATTTTCAGGCCGGCCAAGATGTCGATTTTTTTGGGTGGTGTTCAGAAACTGCATTTAGGCCAATGTGTAGCGTAAACATGACTGCACAGAAAGCGGGGTTTGGGCATTGCCACACATACGCGGTCCTTTCGAGGTTATCTTGGTGATTTTGTATTCAAGTTTTTCAATTATCGGACAGATTATTCCACTGCAATGTTATTCTCTAAAATCTGCGGAAACGCTACGCACGCTGTCACTCTCTTGTAGTAGCGACTGTTTCATCCGGTATTCGATACAACTGAAACCAGGACAAACTTTTGTTATGGGATGCTACCCCTCAGGGACGCTGCTGGCACATGCACGTTCTTTCTCAGTACTCAGTACTGCCATTGTCAAGCGTGTGATGGGACTGCCCTTCATCCAAACCCATTGAGCCCTCCCATGCTGAATGGGATGATTGGACTGGCATGAAAAAAAAAAAGTCAGTGTAATTTAGGGGTTACGGATGGTACTGTACTCCAAGAAGCCATGCATAATTATCAATTTTTATTAGTAGACTCGCCACACAGATTTTGAGTAGCGACTTCTTTGGCGCAATTTGAAGAAAAATGGTGAGTTCTGGCGACTTTTCGCTCATCATTTGGCGAATTTCACTGAAACGTCAGTGGCAACCCTGGTGGCATGCAGCCCGCGGGGGGCTGGTTGTCGACTCCTAATATAGACCCTACTTAACGTTTGTAATTCAGTCCTTTACGATGGCTGACTGCCCCTAACTTGATATTGAACTCTCGGTGCGGTTTCAGTGCTATGCGTCTAAGATTTCCCCGACCCGCATGTTTAGCGGTCCGGCGGCGTTTAATCACCCCCTCATAAGCAGCGGCGCTTCGCGAGAGCTTCGCCATAAGTTGTCGACCCCTGGAGCCCTTGAGAAAATTTAGTCGTGACTGGTATCAAACACGCCTAAGAGAACATTGCTTCACCTTACCCTAAATAGTAGTCTGTGTTAATAAGTTCATTGTGTGTCACAAGAAGACGACTGCAGCAAAGGGTTGCTGTTCTTGCAACACCTCAGCACTTTCAAGTTTTTGGTGCCAACGGTGATGGCAAAAGAAAATAGCCCTTGAAAATAGTTTAGGTGGAATTCATTAGTCACCAAGCGTGTGGGTGAGCGTGGAAGGCTACCGCCATATGTGCCCGATGTAATGGTCATCTCCACACAATATACGCCAAAGTATCGGTACCCCAGTGGTGAAGATTGAAATCGCAGAATGCGCAGACACATTTTTTTTTTCGTGGGGACGACGTAGATTATCGTCTGGTGCCGATGAGGCATGCCTCGCGTCTGTGCACACGGCCATAAACAAAGCCACAAGACCACGGTATTTGTGACGCTTTTTTTTCACAAGTATAATGCGTTCATTCATACTTTGGGCTAGTGCACCGAAGCCTGCAGGAGGGGCAGGGTTGAAAACAGTTCGAAGATTGCTTCAGGCAGAAGGAGCTCATGAAAAGCAATCAACGACAAGATTTATCGAACGACATAGAAGGCATTTCAAGCTGAAGTTGAGTACGGACCATTCGCAAGTATTGCATCCTCGAAAGAATACGTCGCGGAAAGCCAATACAACAGACCAGATTGATAAAAGCAGTGCTTTAAGAAAAGCGCTGCCGAGAGACGCTCTCGCGTAAAAAAAAAAAAAAAAACTGGTGCACGATAATAGACGAGCAAAGGGCCAAGAGTGTCAGAACAGGACCACCGATAGAAATGTCAAGTAATTTGTATTCACCATCAAGACAAAATAGAAGCTCCAAATGTTTGTGGCATATCTACACCCTTCGATAAGCGGGAAAAACATGACGAAAGTACTTCGGATTAGTCCTTGAGGCTTGAGATGTCGAAGTTCTCAAAATCAAGAACATTCGGCATTCGACATCGACGAATCAGCTGGAAGTCTGACTGGCAACAACAAAGAAACCAACATTCATTGATGTTCTTACAAGGCCCGACTGATACGCTGACGCATTGCATCCATCGAGCCAGGCAGTGACAGTGAGGCTGCTAGAAGTGGGATATTAACAACAACGAAATAAACCCTGCTTAACTTTTGAGTCTCGGCACACGTAAGCGACCGTGAGGGACCATGACGTGTGCTTTTAATATCTTGTCATCATAAAATATGCCTCGTTTTTCTTCAGTCATTCACCAGCTTTCCAATTTAACAACGACATCAATTGGCTTCATGCCGTTTAGTGTTTGCAGTTTTCAAAATCCGGTGAAGCAGCAGCCATTACTTAACATCACACGAGCTCATCGCATTGGCGTGGTCTTTTTTCAAGAGACAAAAATTTTTACCAAGTGACGTTGCAGAGTTCCGTCAATGTTTTACAGAGCTGGTAGTGGTAGCTCTTTAACGAGCATAATCAATAAGCTCATGTTGCCAGAATGAATATCCTCACAGGAGATCAGTGATGTGTTGAAAAGTGAGATACTTAGCAGTTATAGGAAAATATTTTAATTCAACACAATAGAGAGGCTGGCGCTGAAATCAAGTTCCGGACTAAGTGCGCGAGTTTGTCAAGTTCATAACATCGGATAGAAGTGAGGGTTGCTTGCACAACTGGTAATTATACAATCCCCTTGTCCGTATTGTGGCATCTACGCTGTTGAGCGGAAGTGCGCCGTCAGCCTCCACGAGGCGCCACTTACCTAACACTTCAGAAAGTGCGACCTATTTTGTGAAATTACCTGGATGAGAAGCTGAAAAAACAGAGGAAACTTCGCTTTGCAGTGGCAGAGCATATCTTTGTCTGATAACACAGATTCGAAGGCTATCAAAGCCCCAACCTCCGAATGGAGGTTAAATCCCACTAACGAAGATTTGCTTTTTTGCGCCTTTTAACTTTTGTCAGTTTCGGTCATAATCGTATACTCTGCAGTTACGATCAACATATATGACTTAATTAACGCGATCGTTTGCATGGTTGTCCTTGTCAGCTCTTTTTTTCTGCATTGGTCTTAATCCCACGCGGCAGAAATTTTCTTGAAATTCGTTTGTGTGTAACAAAGAAAGAAGTTTCTCAAACAACGCCCCTTTTTTGTATTTCTGGGCGAAAGAAGGCGATAGCAGTCTGTTATTTTCTCTTATGTCATGATGGTTGGTTATCGTCACCGGGTGTCATCCCTATCGCCATCGGGGGTGTGCACGCTAAGCATCTTGTTGCCTGCTCACTGCCGGGTCCTTGGGCCGAACGGACGTCGTTTCAATCAAACCACCATGATTAGATAGACATGATTAGATAGATAGATAAATAGATATACAGATAGATAGATAGATAGATAGATAGATAGATAGATAGATAGATAGATAGATAGATAGATAGATAGATAGATAGATAGATAGATAGATAGATAGACAGACAGACAGACTTGACTTTCGTAGAGCGAACAAAGACTGTTGATATTCTTCTAAAATGAAGTGGCGTAAGTTATCGTCATTGGTATCGCCTACGCCATTCGGCTTTGGTGCATTGCCATTTCAGAGGCGCAAGAACACTAAGACTTTAAAATGGTGCCAATAAATACAAACTACGGCATCAAAATATTTTGAATTGGTATGTTTGATGTTTATTCAATAAAACCATGAAAATTGTGACCGGGTAGCTCCTTCTTTTTTGGGGGGAAATAAAGATGTCAGATGTCTCGGGTAAGTGACGTCGGAACATAAGGTATAATTTGCAACAAATTTTAATTCCTTTACCGCTAACCAATGGCCCCAGCATTTTTCTCTGTAGGGAAACCACCTGCCTTACACTCGCGAATGGCTCTTGACGTCAAAGATATGAGTGAATTCAGTTGAATGACTCATCTATTTAAATTCTCTCTTTGCTGAGACAGTGACAGCTGTAGGCAGAGATTAAGTTTATTCACACCTTTTGAGCGGCTTTAACTAAATACCCTATGTTGCTCTTTAACCCTGAAGCTGTTAGTTTTTTTATTTCTGGTTTGTGGAATTATTACTTTGATGAGGCCTACAATTTTTTTTGCTCTATTTTCGCAAAACAGAAGTATGCGATCTTTGAGGATACCAGTGATTCGACAACGTACACTTATAAGAGAAAGCAGTGTTGTGAGTTCAGTGGACACTATTCAGAAAATATTTGCGCACGTTGATACACTTCAACGTATGGAGCTGTATTTGTTAGAAATAAGGAACCAACTCAAAATAGGATTGCTTATTTACTGCCACCTTAATTAAAACACTAGTCTAAAGGAGTTTAACAACTAAACCATGATTTAAAAAATAATTGCCTTGTACATTGAAGCAATATCTTTCTGGTAAATAAAATGCAAGGATTCAGTATCATTCATGAGGTTACATGTTGGAACTGGCATTTTCTCTTTTTCTTTCCAGATGATGTACGAGAATGTCTCATTACGGATTTTATACTGAGTGCGGTGACTTTTCCTCCATTTTCACAATTCGACTTTGACGAGTTTAAAACACATCCTAATTTGTCAGATGAAGTGTGGGAGGAGTTTGAAAGGAAACTGTACACTGAAGTTAGACTTATTGTCATGAGAACCATAAAAGGAACGTGCGCACAAGAATTACACAAGAGGAACGTTAGTGCAGACTCGGCTTGTAGCCACCTTAGTAAACGCCCCTGAACATGCAAGAAAGGGGCTGAGCAAGGAAACTGCGTTTCCTGTGCTATTTCGGTTTTGGTACATAAATGTTTGAACATTCCATTGTCAGACTAATTTATTAGGCAATACCCATTCACAGAAGAGGTAATTTCACGAAGCTGGCACTAGTGATGTTGAACATCAAATCTCGCGTCATGATTTTGTTATTTTTGTGTTTTTAAACGGTTCCTCTTCGCGGGTGAAATTTCGCAACTAGCACCACGTAATATATTCGTGCAAATGATTCACAGGGAATTACGCAAGCGTTAAAAGTTCACTAGTATAAAGCTATGATTTGATTCAGAATAATAAACTGTTTTATGCGAACTGTATTGATGTCAATTTCACTATCACTTGTTAATTAGTACAGGAAAAAATGAAAGTCAAAGTATCAATGGCAAATCTTTAACCAAACTTAGCGCAATTGACGTCACAAGTTTCGAAGTGCATTTCTCGCATTTTGCTGACATTGGCTCAACAAAGCTTTCTGAAACTTGGTATGTTAAGCCTCTGGCCTCATCACCAGACATTGCGCGTCATTTTTACTTAGGAGTTACGTAGGCCTTAGTAAACACCGCCAGAATTGATAATGTCATGATGTTTGGCACAGGAATTTCAAGGGGCATTCCCATCCACATTTTATTTTGCGAAGCTTCTCACGCTGAGCGCGATGATTCAGAAGTAGGACATTCCACGCCAACTGTCCGAACCACGGTGATTCGCCATCTGCGATTAACTTGAAAATAAAATGAAAACTATCTATCTAAAAAAGAAATGTGTTCCAGGAAAATAGTTTTGCGAAAAAAATTGAGATCATCATGAACATCCGAAGTTTTCCGAAAACCTCGAAAGTATGGCTGAAAAAAGAAATTAATAAAAGAAATGTTTTCTTGAGTTTCCTCGGCACGAAATTTTTCTGCAGATAGATAATAGTCCTTACGCTTGAAAAAAAAATGTTTTCTTATTTTGACACTCCAGTGAAATCTTTATAGAGCAATAAATAACCCTGCAATTATTTTTCAGCATGGTTAGAAAACGTTGCTGATTTGCATAGTCTAGGCTCCGTAGAACACGTGAGACAAATTTTATTGCGCAGCACGTGGCCTGAAATTTACAATAAAATCTCGAAATTCGCTAAAAGTTGGTTTCTCTTCTCTCGAAAAATGACGCAATGAGCTGGAAATCATTCGTCCCAGCCGTCCTACCAGCCATTAGCTTATTTAAACATGGCGCGCTCCGTCATTACGTATCGCCGCAAGAGGCCACGACATGTCCACCCGTGTGCGTGCGATTGCACAGAAAAATTTGTGTATCAAAGTAAAAAGGCGCTAAAAGTCACGAGACACGCGTGACATATTTTTTTAGCCAGTGCCATTCCCCCCTGCTTAGCTTACGGTGCTTTCGTCAGGACGAGAGAACAGAGAATGCGATTGCAGCGTGCGACAAATCTTCGTAAATCTGCTTGCACTGTAGGGACTCTAAATATTTTTGCAACGGTGAATTTGTGAGGCAATAAGTTCATTTGGTGAATACATGCTTTATATGCTTGAAAAAGTGTTGGAGGGCCGTTTTAAATGTGGGAAACTTGTTCCAAACTGAGTTTTTTTTCAGGAACAAATTACTCCTAAATAAATGGAATTTATTATTTTAATCTTTGACCATGAAGTCGTATAAAGCGTGTAAAATATTTTTAGCTGCATACAATGCTAAATAGTGAGCACAGCTGGTAAAATACTGTGAAAAAACAGGAAAAAACAAGTTCTGATCAATAATAACGTTTGAATGCTACATTAAGGCGGTCTTTGCAAAAATGCTTTAAATTGCGTATTTATTGGTAGAGTTTACACCTCAAAGACTGATGATTTTGTGAAAATACTGTTTGAATTAGGCAACAAAACATTTCGAAGTTGGTTCCTGCATGTCTAGGCAAATGTACACACTTTGTCTTCGTAGCAAAGTGTCCGAGCAGTAAATGGTGTTCACGCGGAAATGAGTGTTCGTGGGTTGATATAGGCGTACCTCCAAAGCAACATAAACAGCTTTTTAGGTGTTTATTTAAATGACCTAATAGCCAGTGGCGAAAACGCAAAGCGAGTTTGATAGTATGTGCGTCCACTAATGGCTGGCATAGCTTTCACGCGAACCACAAAAGGTGGCATTCATGTGTTCAATGACCAGTTCCGTGATTCCAAATTTGGCAATAGTAAAATATGTCGTCATCATGAAAATAGTTGCTCGTGTAGGCTGGCAGATGTACTGTGACGTATAGCAACACAACCAAGTGCAAGCGAGAAAAATTCAGGATGTTAAACTGTTTTCAGTGTAGATGGCTTGTCGTAGACGAAAAGCGAAAATTCCTTCTAGTCAGCCTTCTATGGGTACTACTCTCATAATTTATGTCAATTACAATCTAGCAGCACTACACTTATATCTTTAACCTTTCGATGCCCCAATTATAGAACTGTCAAAGGAAATATTTTTGTTCATTTCACAAATATAAGTAGGGACCTTTATATATGATTCCAAAGTTAAATTACCTAAAACGCACCTTTATTGCATACTTATATGTGCACATCACGGATACTCCACGTGTCACAGAAGCGAGGATCTTGAAACGAAAAAATACTTCAGAACTATGCAAAATGCCGTGTGTGGCGTCTTGAGCGCATACACACCAAATAAACAAAATTATTAAAGGTAGAGTTGAGTCAGCCAGGAGAGAAAGAATTAAGTTAGCGCTCTTGCACGCGCTTCGAGCTTTCTGCCACCAGCTACAAAAATATTGGCTGTAGTGTCAAATGCTAGAACCACGAGACAGCACTAGATTTTTCATGGTGAAAGCTACGTTCCCTCAGTAATTGACAGGTGGCTTTAGGGCGGCACGCATTCCATGACTTGCTTGCTCAAAGTTTTTCAATTTGTCGTGAATTCGCAACACTAGGCAACGAAGGGTGTCAATGTATTTAGACGCATGCTCATAGATACGCGCTTGTTTTACCAAAAATCTGTGTCAATCGGACTGTTTTTATTTGAGCTACATTACAATGCAGTGATTTCAAAACTCACGCCTTGACAACGCCATTGCTAGAGAAACACTTCATGGGGTAAAATAGAGACATGCCTCATATGCGTATCTGTTAATAAGGTCAAAATAAAAATTCATTACCTAAAAATAGGAAAAAAAACTATGATCATAGAGCCAGAAAGAATCCAATGTTGCTAATTTGCAAACGTAATGAATGAAGTTGGTTACAAGTTGTAAAAGCGAGGACAACAACATGAATTGCGCTAAGGTGCCAAGCGCGAAATCAAAAATGAAAACACAAACGTCAGCTGGAAAGAATGGAGTTCAAAAACGAAAGAGAAGGATCAAAGAAACGAAGAAAGCAAGATATATCGCCAGTTCAAAAAAAAGAAGGCTTCCTGAGGGTACTAGTATGAACTTGCTAGTCACTGGGATCAGAAAACAGGGTGGTAGTACATCTACACGGTTTATCTTTTTCGCAGTACCTGGTATTTTGTTGACGCTAACTGTGAACTAAAGTGGCTATCACTGTTTCACGAGCACGGTTGATGAGACGTGTATGACTGGGGCTTCCCGGATATGGCCCCAGAGAGAGCTAGCTCACTCGATCACCGTAGGCCCAGAGAGCTTCAGAGCGTCAGTCGCCGACCATTTAATAACGCTAAAGTGACGTGAAGCACACCTTCATGTACGTTGTATGACACCTAGGTGTTATCGGCGACAATCATTTCTTTCTTTGAGTCGGGCCAGAGCAGCACGCCTATAATAGAAAGGAACAACAGCTTCCTTCAACCCTGAGAATCACGCAGCACTGGCAGTACTGGACGCAAACTATGCCAGCAGTAACAAAATATGAGCCTTGTTTGCATGTAAATATCTTTGCGCTTGACAAGAACGCATTTTTATTTGCCCTCTGAGCTTCGTATTGCTGTGGAAGTGGAGCTCACCTGACATTGAAGTGAGACAGGTAGCGTGTGTGTCTGCGACCTCGAGCAGTTGCTGGTACGGGTCGAGTGGCTTGTAAAAGACAACGCATCTAAGTAACTCGAAGCCGGAAATAGCCAACTTTGCTACTAACAACGTCTATGGAACCTCCACAAGAGTACGTTGAACAATATCAAGACCGGAAACCAACGTTACCGTCAAGTGGTTCCTTGCACACGCTGGGGAGCTGGGCGCGGGACGGTATCGCAACGAGGAAGCAGATACGGAAGTACACGTGCTAACTAGCCACGGGTGTTCTTCGTCACATTCCTCGTAGCCAGGACGACCCGAAGCCGAACACGAAGAGTATTCTATCACAACGCATATTCCATATTTGTAAACACAAGTAGGTCGATGTCGACATTATGAGTAATAAGATAGCGGCGTCCGCAAGTCACTTCCACTATCAGCGCTGAAGGCTGCGATGTGCGCCAACAAACAAAACTAAGTTGTGAGACGCGACTCACATCCAACCGTGACACAGTTCGTCGGCACACCTTTTTTTCTCGTTGCTTGAATGAGAACACCACATCTACCATTGAAGAGCCAGCAGGAACTGCGGTAGGCAGAGCGTCTTTTGCCTACCGAGACCGCGCCACCGCATTTTCGTGAAGTCCGGTGGAATTTCTCTATAGAGTGGACGGGGTGATAACCACCACCGTAGCACAGGAATAGGACGCCGGACGGGTCATTCGAATGTCGCAGGTTTGAATCCTGAAGGTGGCAAATAATTTTAGGGGCGAAGCTCCTTAAAGCAGCACCCATTTGTTGCTCGTAGTCGTAGTAGTTGTCATAGTGTGTAACCAGTCTTACATTTTGACTTTCAAGGTGGTGCCGGTGAGAGATTTTTTCTGTGCGTTGTTGAACAATAAAAGATGGTGCTCAATGTACATGCAAATGGCTGTTAAGGGAAATGAGAGACAGGAGAATTCGGCTTTTAGTTACTACGCACGCTGCAAATTTTTTATTGTTCAACAACGCACAGCAGACAAAAAGGGTTGCTACGTTATGCTCACTGGGCGTAACCTCCTAGGCTTTAGAAAGGTTTAGCGAGCGTTGGGCCGCAGTGCCATGAACACAGTGAGCTAGTATATACCATGAACTCGAGGTGGTTAAAGGTGGGAAGTACACGCGAAGCGCAAGCCGTAAGAAAGTGTGCGTGTGCCTCCTCTCGTTAAGTACTTGGAATATCCGCTAGATAACGCTGCTTCTATATGAAGAATAGTGAGCCTTCATGTGCGCGCGTCTCCGGGAGACGAGCACACATGAAGGCTCCCTAATGAAGAATATATGATGAAAATATGCGAGAT